CGACGGGGTCGGCGGTGCGGAGGCGCTGGAGCAGCATCGACACGGTCAGCGCCGTGATGTCCGGCTTGCCCACCTCGAGCGCCAGCCGGGCCAGCACGGTGATGGTGCTGAGGTTGATCAGCCGCTTCTGATCCTCGGTGCGCACGTTCATGATCGTCTGCGAGCCCGAGTGCTGCATGCCGGGGATGTGGTCGCGCGTGGTGATGGCGCGCGACGCGCCACTGCGTACCGACATGCCGCTGCTGGCGAGGCCGCCGAGGCCGAGGTGGCCGCCGGCACCGCCTCCCGCAGAGTCCTTGCTGATGTAGTTGAGCAGGTTGTACATCGTCGAGACGACCAGGTCGTCGCCCGGCGCGATGGTGACGCAGCTGGCGAGGCAGCGCGCGGCCGAGAGCAGCACGGGCGACAGCGTGCCGTTGGGGCCGGACTCGAAGACGGCGAGGGGCGACGTGACAAAGTGGCGCAGCACGCGCGTCATGGGCATGGCGACGGCCGGCTGGTTGCGGACCAGCAGGCCGACGCTCTGCAGCGCCGCCGTCTGGACCGTGGGGTCGATGATCGGCGTCGACTCGCTCAGCAGGTTGCGGATGCGAACAAACGTCGACGCATCGACGGCGGTGCCAGAGTCGAGGTGCAGGCAGACCGAGCAGAGCGTCGACAGCTTGAGCGCCTCGCCCAGGATGTCGGCCGTGTACAGGTCGGCCAGCGTGCCGTCGAGCTCGTAGCCGGCGCTCTCGACGAAGCGCTGCGTGCTGTGAAACGTGCGGTTGCTGGCCTGGATCGTCGAGTGGACCGCAGCGTCGACGTCGAGCGCCGTCGGGAGCAGCGACGAGATCGCCGGTGCCCCGTTCGAGGCGGCCGACGGAGCGGTGCTCTGGTCGTGGCCAAACGCGGCAGAGCCGTTGGTGCTGCTGCTTCCGAGCAGCGGGATGGCCGAGAGGACGGCCGACGCCAGCCCGCCCTGCTCGCCCGGCTGAGCGCTGGTCGGCGGAGCAGAGGCAGGGACGGACGAGGCCGCCGGGGCGATGGCAGGCGTGGCGTCCTTGCCGTCGGCCTCTGACGACGACGCCGGACTGACCACGGCGTAGCGCAGAAGCGACTTCCACGCCTCGGCCGCAGCCTTGTCGCCGCCGAGGTGGCCGTGGTGACGCTGGTGCTTGAGCAGGGCGGGGTCGAGGTCGAAGCGGTCGGCCTGGGCGCCGCGTGCGGCGTGCGGCTCGTTGGCGCGAGGGCGGGCATCGACGGCCAGCGCCTGGGCGAGGACCGAAGTGAGGATCTCGAGCGCCGCGTGGACGGCGTAGTGGCCCGAAACGGGGCTGCCGATGCGTCGGTAGTGGGCGAGCATCGAGAGGCGGTAGGCACGCTGGTCCTCGTCACTGTCGCCGTCGGCATAGGTGAAGCCCCCGTCCTGCTCGACGAGGCCGGGAACGTCATCGCCATCGACGTCGTCCTCGTTGCCGGAGAAGAAGGTGTCGACGCTGCCCTCGGAACGGTCGTCGCCGAGGGCGTCCTTGGGCCGCACGGTGGGCTGCTTGGGCACGCGGCGGGTGGAGCGGATGGCGTGGGCGCGGGCAAGCTGCTGCTCGGGCAGCACCAGGAGGATCTCGTCGAGGCGGCGAGCGGCCTGGACGGAGCGGATGAGCGGAGCCAGGGTGGTGGCGAGGCGGGCGAACTCGCTGCGGCTCCAGGGAAAGCGGACGTTGGCGAGAGCGCGGTAGAGGCCGTTGAAGAGCGGCACCAGCCTGCACGCAGCGGTGTGGGCGTCGCCCGAGGTGGCGGTGAGGCCGGCAGTGAGCCGGTCTGCAAAGACCAGGACGGCATCGAAACAGCGGCGGCGGTGGTGCTGGGCGTTCTGGGCGACGCGGAGGAAGCTGGCGACGAGGGCATGGGCGAGCTGGTCGGCGAGGGGCCACTCGGACCATGCCATGTCCTGGTCAAAGTCGGTGAGGGTGAGGTCGCGCAGCAGCGACTCGAGCTGGTCGAGGACGGGGACGAGATGCTCGTCGTTTGCGTGCGCCGGCTGGGCGGTCGAGATCGACGAGGCAAAGAGAGCCAGGCTGATCTGGGTGCGGGCCGCGGCCGTCGAGAGGTGGCGGAGCGACGACGTCTTGACCCTGGACGAGGTGGCTGCGGCGCCGGCGCCTAGTCCAAAGAGGCTGCGGACATGGGCGCTGCCTGCAGGGATGCGGTCGATGTCCGAGGCGAGGTTGACGGCGAGGTCATCGAGGATGAGCTGGTGGGTGGGCAGATCGAGGCTGTCCATCCTGGAGATAGGCCGGCCGGCGGTCGCTCGTCGTGGAGAGGCGAGGTGCTAGCAGCGAGGAGCGAAGGTGTTTCAGCAATGGGAAGGGGTTGGCAGTGATGGTGGTGGTGGTGGTAGATTTGGTGGTGGTGGTGGTGGTGGTGGTGGTGAGGGGAGGGATGACGAGGATGGAGACCGTTGGTTGGTCCCGAGAAGATCGTGGGGCAGCGCGCTGGGCCTGGATGCGGGGAAGGCGACTGGCCGCCGGCTGGCTGGCATGGCGGGTGAGGTCACTTCACCTGCCCTCAATCCGCCGCCGTGCTGCTGGCCTCCTGGCTGTGGGGAGCCACCGCCTCGTGAAAAAGGCGCGGCCCTCGGTGGCCCAAACGCAGGCAGGCAAGGCAGGAGCAGGCGAGGCGGGCCAAGCAGCGGCGCGGGCCCGAGGTCGAGGAGCCGCGCTTCGGTCCTCGACGCAGCGCTGGCCTGCCTGCCCTGCCCCGCCCTGCCCTGCCCTGCCCTGCCCTGCCCTGCCCTGCCCCGCCGGCCGCCTGTCCACTCGCCGCGCCTTCTCGCCGCTCGGTGCAGCCAGAATCCTTCACTCGGCCAGACCGGGCAGGCGAAAGCTGGCACGTCTGAGCGACGCCAGCGATGCGCGGCCACGGACGCCTTCACAAATCACAGCCTCGCAATCGGTCGGCGGCGGCGGCGAGGTGCAGCGTGCGCGACCGGTGCGGTTCAGGGCTTGGGCGTGCCGTCGTTGTATCGTGGGCGGGCTCTATCTACAGTGGGGGTGGAGCCATGCCGGCCCCGGGCCGCTGTCTCCGCACGGTCAAGCAGGGCCCGAGGCGGAGCGAGCGGGAGGGGCGAGGGGAATCGCAGCGATGTCGCAGGCGAGGGAGACGTCGCCGAGCTCAGCTCAGCACTTGCACGACGAGCCGTCCTCCATAGTCGTCTGGGTTGGAGGCGCGGTCACGTCGATGTCTGAACGAGGGCACAGCGCCAGACAAGGGCAGAGCAGGCAGAGTAGGGTTGAGGCGTCAGCGCGCGATCATCGCATCTGGTAGCTGCTTCGGCCCACTCACTCTTGTTCGGGTTGGCGGCACCGCCATTGGCCGCGTCGGCGTCCTTGTCCATGCCCGGCAGCGCCTGGGCAATCTTCTTGAACAGCACCTTGACATTGTGGCCCGCCTTGGCCGACGTCTCGATAAACATGACGTTGAACTCTTGCGCCTTCTTCTCCGCCTCCTCGGTCGTCACTTGTCTGCGTGGGGGTGGGGAGGCCAAGGTGCGAGCAGGACACAGAAGATGGAAGGGAAAGATGCGAAGGCAAGGACAAGGACGGTCAGACCGCGTCAAAGGGGGCCAAGCTGGAACCCCGTCTGCCAGCTACGTGGGCCGCTCTCGAACCCACCTCTTGTCGCTCAGGTCAGTCTTGTTGCCGACGAGGACGATGATGACGTCGTTGCCGCGCTCGGCCCGCACGTCGTCGACCCACTTTGACGTGTTCTGAAACGATGCGCGGTCTGGCAGGCGCAGGCGAGAGAAAGAGCGGGGCGAGCAGGGTATTGGGGACGGGACAAGCAGCAAGGTCGAGGGCGACGGACGGGGGGAGCAAGGAAGGGGAGGAACAGATCCAGGCGAAGAGGTTCGATGCGTCAGTGTCCCTGCGCGCTCGAGACGGCGGCAGCAGCGACACTCACTGGTAATGTCGTAGACGACGACGGCGACCGACGAGTCGCGGATGTACGAGGGGATAAGGGAGCGGAAGCGCTCCTGGCCCGCCGTGTCCCAGAGCTGCAACCGCACCGTCCTGTCCTCGAGGTACATGGTCTTTGAAAGGAAGTCGATGCCGATGGTGGCCTGGTAGGTGTTGTCAAAGGTATCGTACATGAACCGCGTGATGAGCGAAGTCTTGCCGACGCTCTGCTCGCCGAGGAAGACGAGCTGCGCGGTCGGTTGGTCGATGGCCGGAACGTCAGGCGGGAGAGTGGGAGAGACGTCAGTTCGGCTTCGCTTTGAACGGCGACCGGAGAGTCGCCAGTAGAGCGCGCGCGCCATGCTGCTTCGGTCAGACCGGCAGGGGACCCGCGGATGCACACCTTGAACTTGCGAAGGGGCTGGCCGAATTCGGCTGTGGTGGCGCCTGCTGGGTTCGACATGGCGATGGCGATAGAGGGGTGTGTGTGGACTGGTCGGGACGGAGAGATCGCTGACCGCAGGGTATCGGGAGGAGTGAGGGTGTCGGTGTTTGGTGCGCAGACGAGGTAAAGGGCAGGTGGCCAGCGAAGTCGTCTTGGCCGGCGCGAAAGAAAGGAAAAGGCACGGCGAGGCTGCGGAAAGCGCGCGGGGCGGCGGTCGAGCGAGGGCAGTGACTGGAAGACGGTTGTCGGGGTCGGAGCTGGCAGCTACTGAAAACTGCTCGTAAGGCACGGCAGGGTCTGTGCTTGGGTTGCAGCTGTATGCAAAGGCAGGCGAGCAAGCTAGGTCCAGGCTAGCTCGAAGGGTGTCGCCGAGGTCCGGGCGGCAGAAGAAGGTGGGGCAGGTCGGCGGCGGTGAGGGCAAGCGGTCGGATGAATTGTCAGAGAAAGACGAGGAAGGCAGCTGCGTGGTGCTTGGAGGTGACGATGGTGATGGCGCTGGCGGCGGTGGTGGTCGCGAGTTGAGTTTGAGGCCGTCGACGATCTTCTGGTTGGGAGTGGTGAGGGAGCGAGGGAGCAGCCTCGGGCCGGGCCCAGGTCGCCTGGCTCCGTCTGGCCTGGGCCTGACGCTCTACTCTTGCCCTGGTCGAGCTAGGCTGGGCTGGCCTCTAGGCGGGGCGAGCGGGGCGCGTGGCAGCCAGCAGCAGCAGCAGCAGCAGCAGCAGCAGCAGCAGGGACGAGGGTCGAGCGCAGAAGCAGCTGCGCGGGCCTGGCCTCAGCTGGCCTGGCCTGGCCCCGGCCCCCCCTGAATTTGCGCTGGCGGCGGTGGGCGCCAGGCCGAGTTCCGGCAGCCTGCTGGCCAAGCCCAAGGCACCGAGCAGCACAGGCCATCCCTGTTTGGCCCCCGGCTTTCTTCCGGCCTCGACCCCGACCCCGTCCTCGTCCTCGTCCTCGTTCTCGTCCTCGTCCTCGTCCTCCTCGCCCTTGGGCAGCCAGTCGAAGCATGTCGTCGGCAGCAACAGCAACACCACCAGCGGCGAAAGCGACGGCGGCGACAATGGCGTCCATGCCCAGCGACCCTTCCTCGTCGTCGTCTTCGTCGTCGTCGACGGCGCTCCCCTCGACCCACCCCATCAGCCGCCGCATCAGGTCCATCCTCGTCCAGCCCACCCAGAACGAGGCCAACCTGCGACACGCCCTCGATACCCTGGCGCACCTCTACCCGGCCCGCCCCTCTGCTGCGTCCCCGGCCGACATCGATGCCGCCGTCGCTGGTCCTTCAAAGCACCCGCGTCCCGCCCCCGTCGACACCGCTCGCGCGCGGCGCAACGTCGAGCGCGATGCCCGCAAACGCATCCTCGGCGCCACCGACGACCTCATCGCCCTCCTCGGCACCGTCGACGACGCCCTCACCCACCTCGGCCACGACGTCGACCGCATGCACGCCAGCTGCGACGACGTCGAGTCCCGCCTCCGTTCCGCCGCCATCTCCAGCCGCTACCTCGTCGAGCACGCAGAGGGCCTCGAGCGACAGCGCCAAGCCACCCAGCTCCACCGCCACCTCTCGTCGCGCTTCCTCGACCGCTTCACCTTGTCCTCCGAGGAGCGCGACGCCATCCACTCGCGCCAGGTCCGCGTCGGCTCGCGCCTCTTTGCCGCCATCGACCACCTCGACCGCATCCGCGCAGACTGCCGCATCCTCCTCGAGGGCTCCGACCCCAACGGCGTCGGCGGCGGCACCCGCGCCGCCACCGACATCATGGCCGCCACCGCTCAGGACCTCGAGCTGGCCTACCAGAAGATCTTCAAGTGGTGCTCGTTCGAGTTCCGCCAGCCCGTCAAGGAGGGCCTCGAGGTGTCGCGCCACCTCCGCGAGGCCGTCCAGCGCCTGATGCGCGCCCGCCCCGACCTCCTCCGCCAGGCCCTCTCGACGCTCGTCGCCACGCGCTCCTCGATCCTGACAAACGCCTTTGTCGCCGCCCTCACCGTCGGCGGGTCCGCGCCCACCTACCTGCCGCGGCCCATTGAGCTCCACGCCCACGACCCGCTCCGCTACGTCGGCGACATGCTCGCCTGGATCCACCAGACGCTGGCCAGCGAGCGCGAGTTCCTCACGGCCCTCTTTGGCGAAAAGGAGGGAGAGGGCGGCAGGCGCATCGGTCAGCGGCGGCGCGGCCTCGAGGGCAGCGTCGACCTCTCGGCGTCGCTGAGCGGCGGTGCGGGTGATGCGGCCGCCATGGGACCGGGCGAGGCGCTGGTGCGCGAGGTGCTCAACCGCAACCTCGAGGGGTGCTGTCGGCCGCTCAAGGTGCGTAGTCGGGCCGCGGCGGCAGTCGGAGAGGAGAGGAGAGGAGGAGAGAGGAGAGGACGCCACCCGCGCACTGACCCAAGTTGACTCTACCTTTCCTGTCTGTCGCGTCCCGCGTTCGCCCCCCGCCTCTTCAGATCCGAGTGCAGCAGACGGTGCGGTCGCAAGAGGGCAGCGTGACGACCTACCGCCTGGCCCACCTGGTGCACTTTTACCGGCAGACGATGGAAAAGACGATCGGCACAAAGGCGGTGCTGAGCCAGACGCTCGCCGAGTGAGTGCCGTGCCGTGCAGTGGGCGTGGCGTGTGTCCTGCCAGGGTGTCGCTTCGAGAGGGATCCATCGACGCTCAAACTCACCTGTCCACCTCTGCCGATTGATGCGCCCGCCGCGCCAACTCAGGATCTCGACGACGTCGCTCTCGGCCTTTTACGTGACGCTGGATCGCCAAGCCGCCGGTCTATCCCGGTTCGACGAGGCGCCCGACGCCGCGCTGTCGGCGCCGCCGCCGCTGGTGGGCGTATCGGCGACGCTCAAGGAGCTGCTGGCAGAGTACCAGCGTTCCCTTGCCGACGTCGACGTTTCGCTTGCCACGACGACGACGACGACCTCGCATGGAGGGCAGGGGGCCGAGCGCGGGCTGGACGAGTTTGATACGATCCTCGAGAAACTCGTCGATCCCATGCTCGACCTGTGCAGGCGCATGGCCAGACACCTCTCCAGGCCAACCCCGGCGACGGCGACGGCGGCGGCGGCGAAGGCGGATGCTGCTGCTCCTGTCGCTGCAGAACGACGAGGAGAAACGGGGAGCGAGACGTGGGAATCGGCCGTGTTTCTCGAAAACTGCTACGCCTTCATCCTCGTGAGTTCCGTCCGCCGGTGACCTCGTCGTCTTGATCCTGCGTGGGTGCATACGTTGGAGGGAGGGATCGCTGATACGCGTGCTCGCCTCTATCTGCCCTCTGCGTGTGTGTGCGGCCGCCCCGGTAGGATCTGCTGAGACCGTACGGCTTCACAAAGGCCAAGGTCGAAGAGATCCAAGACGAAATGAGGGGCAGGAGAGAGGTCCTCGTCGATCTACACGTACGTCGCCACCATCACCGCTCGCGCTGCTGAGACCCACAAGAGGGATGCGAGGACGGTAGACTCACCTTACCACCCCCCCCCCCCCACCCCCTCCCTCTCCTTCTACCTCTCTCCCTCCTGCCCCGGTGGGGCCGGGATACAACAGCACGCGATGCTATTGCAACGAAGCGGACTAGCCCCGCTCCTCTCTACACTACACGATCCGACCATCTCGCCACCGCTCTCGCACCACCCAGAGACGACGCCGACGAGGGTATCCGCGTACCTGGGTACGTTTAACGAGTTCCTCGCGTCGCCCGAGGTCATTTCGCCCTCGTCGCACCTGGCGCGCCTCGACGCGCCCACGACGCGCGCGCACGTGCACACGGCGGTGCTGTCGCGGCTGACGGACGAGTACGGAGAGGTGGTCGATGCGCTCAAGGACCCGCGTAACCGCTTCGAGTGGAAGGAGACCCTCGTCCGTCGATCCAAGGACGACGTGGCCCTCTTGCTCGGTCTCCAGTCGTCGTAATTTGCCCTTGCCCTCCTTTCGAGTGGGGAGCCGCCTTGTAGGGCGCTCCGATCAGGATCGGGATCAGGGTCAGGAGAGGAGGAGCAGCGGGAATGACGTGGATGTAATGCCGAGATCGCGCGATACCTTGCCGACGTTGGCGTCGCTCGACTTGGGCGCGCCCACCGGTGCAGCCTCGTCGCGCAGCATGGCGTGCAATGCCATGGCCTCTACCTCGGTCGCCCGACCGCCAAGCATCGACCGGAGCGACGAGGATGTCGACGACGGCGATTGCGGTGTCGCTGCCGTCTTTGCCGACTTGGTCGAGGCGGCGGAAAAGAAGCTCGAGATGGCGACGGGCTCGTGGGTCCACTTGACCTTGTAGCCGCGCGTCCCCGTCGCCGGTATCCGGGTGCCCCAGCGCGAAAAGGAAGGCAGCGGCGTCGCCGACGACAGCGCGGCCGGCTTGTCGTCGGGCGGCGTCTGCCCGGCGTCGCCGTCTGCGTCTCCGCCGGCGGACAGGTCGATGCCCTTGGAGCGCGACGAGGATCTCGTCATGGCCTTGCGCTTCGTCCCCCGGCTCGCGCCCGCCGACGACGCCGACGACGCCGAGGCCGAGGGGAGCCGTACCTTTTCGTCGAGCATCGTCTTGGCCGTCGCCCAGCTGAAGCGCACGATGCCCGGCCAGCCAAACACTGGATCCAGGGCGGCCTTGAGGTAGGAGACGGTGTTGGGGTCCGAGGGGTAGCCCGATCCGGGAGGCGGGAACGGAGGCGCTGCCGTCGCCGCCGCAGAGGAAGCCGTCGCGCTGCCGTCCTCTTGCCGCTCCTCGCCGTTGGTCCTGTCGGCGAGCACCGTGTCGTCGCCCTTGCGCCCCTGCCCCTGACCCTGCCCCTGCCACTGCGATGCTCCAGCGTGCCCGCCGCCCGGCACGGCCTCTGCGTACCTCCACTCGTCGATGCACCGATCGCGCGTGACCTTGGCCGCAATCGACGCGGCACCGACGATGGGGTAGATGGCGTCGGCCTTGCTGGTGACGGTCCACTTGATGTGCGGGTGGCGTGGGAAGTTGGACGAGAGGAGGCGCGAGTAGGACGTGGGGTCGCCGACGGTGTCGACGTAGATCTCGGTCACGTCGACGCCGCTCTCGAGGACGCCGGCGATGAGGGCGACGGTGGCCTGCGACGACTGGGCGTTGAGGTTGACGGGCCGCCGCCGCAGCATGCCCGACGAGATGTCCTGCGGCGACATGACCCGCACCGCCCACCCGAGATGGGTGTTTGTGTCGATGAGCGCAGAGAGGAGCGTCGAGCGCTTTTCGGCGGTCAAAGCCTTGGAGTCTGTCGAGCGTCGGCGTCGGTGTCGGCGTCGGCGTCGAGGGCGAAACGGGACGGGACGGGAGGCAGTTAGAGTGCCGGATTGGCAAGGAGTTCTCCACGTCAGCCAGAAGCGACCGAGGCATCAAGAAGGGGCCGAACAGGGCAGCCCCGTCGCCACCCACCTGCGAAGCCAATCTGCTTGAGCTCGTCCTGGTATTCGAGGGGACAGTATGCAATGCCGTAGACGAGGGGACCCAGGACGGGTCCTCTGCCCGCCTCGTCTACGCCGAGCACGCAGGGCACTTTGGTGCTGCCGGTGGCCACGGTGCGGGAGCACTCGGAGGGGATCGGGGATGCATACGTGTAGGAAGCGACGATGGGTTCCTTGGGGTCCGAGGGGATGGGCGGGGGTGGCGAGGGCAGGCCGTCGTCGTCGCCGTTGTTGGTTCCATCGTCGCGGTCCAGGGCTGGATCCTGCTGCGACTGCGACTCGGTCTGGGAACGAGAAGATCGGGTGCGCTTGATGCGGGGCATGGTGGCTGTCGAAGTGCGGGTGGAATCGTCGGGAGTGAGGGTCGGGTGAAGGGACAGGTGAGGGGCCAGCGGCAGGGCGAGAATGAAGTGTTGGTCTGGCCCTGGCAGGCCGGCAGTCTGGCAGGTGCAGCGATGCGCGTCGGCTTCCGGCCCTTTTTTCGCGTCGCGTGGCCGGCTCGGCCTATGCCAGGCCTGCCTGCAGCTGGCCTTCTCCTTGCCAGGCGTCACTCTGCCTGGCGTTCCCCGCCATATGGCGGCGCAGGCTGCGACCGTCGTCAACTCCTCCGAGTCTGGCTCCTTCATCACAGCTTGCGCGGACCATGCGCCAGATGTACCACAGTGTCGCGTGTTGCTGGCAGGGGGCAAGATCCTCTCGCGACGCCAAGGGAGCAGGCGGCCAGGCAAGCACATGCTGGCTGGAAGCAACGAATAAATTAACAGTCCGGGGAAAGGGGCAGCTCACGACAGCAGACGACAAAAGAGGCGGGCGTGGGGCGACGCATGTGCCACCCTGCTGGCTACACGGCGCGCGAGAAAAAGGGCAAAGGGGGCGAGAGGGCCGGCTCTACGAGTCAAAGGGGCGGATGACGACCTTGACGCCGCTGACGCCCTGCTTGTTCTTTGCGAGGGCGTCTTCGATGTGCTCGAGGCCGCCGGGGACGACGGTGGCGCGGTTGGCGCGGAACTTGCCCGTGGCCAGGTAGCCCTGCTCGCCGCCGAGGTTCTTCATCAGCGGCTCCGAGAGGTAGCGGAGCGCAGGGCTGGAGCCGAGGCCCATGATGGGGCGGAACTCGACCTTCTTTTCCTTGCCGGCCTTGACGTTGTCCTGGTCGGGCTGGAGGACGAGGACGACGTTGCCGCCGCCGACGGGGGCGAGGATGTCGATGGCGAGCGCCTGGGTCTCCTTTGCCGAGATGCCGTCGTAGACGACGTCGAGCTTGGCCGAGCCGGCGGCCTTGACAAAGTCGTCTGCGGTGGCCGTGGAGCGGTCGAGGACGTCGGTGGCGCCGAGCTGCTTGAGGTGGTCAAAGTGGGAGGCGCTCGAGTTGGTGATGATGCGCTCGAAGCCCGAGAGGCGGGCGAGCTGGATGGCGTACTGGCCCACCGACGAGGAGCCGCCGAGGACGACGATGGCCTTGCCCTTGCCGACCTGGTCGCCGCCCTGGTCCCAGGGCGCCTTTGGGAGAGCGTGTCCGGACTTGTCGTAGAGGCCGACGAGGGCGGCGACGGTGGCGAGCGAGATGCCGGCGGCCTCGTCGTCGGTGACGTTGTTCGGGGTGAGGCCGACGAGGGCGGCGGGGAGGACGGTGTACTGCTGGAAGGTCGACGAGGCGTTGTTGCCGAGGATGCCCTGGTAGAAGACGCGGTCGCCCTCCTTTACATTGTTGACGGCGCTGCCGACGGCGGCAATCTCACCGGCGGCGTCGGAGCCCAGGACGGCGGGGTAGTCGGAGATGAAGAGCTTGTAGTCGCGGGCCTTCCAGTCGACGGGGTTGATGGCGGTGGCCGTGTTCCGGATGAGGACCTCGTCGTCCTTGAGCTGGGGCGGGGAGCGGTCGACGACCTTGTGCTGGGCGCCGGGCTCGGGGACGACGGCGGCCTTGAACGACGTGGGGGCGGGCATGGTGTGCGGGCGGTGGCGTGGGGGGAAAAGGACAAGGGAGTTGGCAGTGGGCAGTACGGATGGGGATAGGGATGGATTCGGGTCGGGAGGTGGTTGAGTGGATGGGCACCGAGACGGGCAGTCCGGCCTTGGTTAAGTAGGTCGGTCGAGCTCGAGGACGAGGGCAGCCGTCGTTGCAGGCGGGGCCGGGCCCAAGAGAAGCCTCCGGAAGCTTTCCAGTAGTAGTCTGGCGGGCGGGCTGGTGATTCCCACAGGCCCGCGCACGACGCCCGCTTCAGGCATGGGCCTGGCCTGCCTCCTCCTTGACTTCTATGCTGGCCCGCCGGGGTTTAGACAAGGCTTGAGTCGCGATATGCATGGCCAAAGGCGCCTGCCTCTCTTCTACCTCCACCTGCTGGTCGGGCGGCCCGTCGGTCCACCTTCGGGCGCTCCGGTTGCCGGTCCACGGGCCGCAGGCAGCGCGGGCGTGGGCCTGCTTGCAAATGCGGAACACGGGCGGGCAGGGCAGGTGGCAGGTGAGGGTGACACGCCTCGACCTGGCGACCTTTTCCTCGGAAGCCGGTACTTCGGGCTCTTTTTTTCCTGACCAGGCGCAGCGGCTCAGGCCGAGGAAATTCTCTTTGCGCCGCCGCCGCCGCCCGGTCGGTCGGGTCGCCTGTGCCACGCCCACCACCACCACCAACACCACCCTCGAGCCGCCGACAGCTGCTCCACCGGATCGCCTTGACCACACCGGAGGCAGTGTCCACCAACGCCACCGTCACCGCCACCGCCACCGCCAAACACCACCCTCACCTCGTCGTCGATACCCGGAACATGGCGCCCGCATCTCCCGCCGCGGCCGCCACTGGCCAGGCAAACGACGACAGCACAGGCGACCGACAACCCTCGACCACCGTCCCAGACCCGCAGTCGGACGTCTCGGGCTTCCTCCTCTCGCTCCAGTCGGCCCTACAGCCTCTGACCCAGAGCGCAGCCCTCCTGCCAAACCACGCAGACATCGCCTTCCACAAGTCCATCGACCGCAAGCTCGCCCCCAGGCTCGATCAAGAGGCCGACCGCATCCTCGACTCCATCTCGGCCATCTCGTCCTGGATCGCAAGCCACCCGCAGGCTCCAAAGCCCCCTCGCTTCCTCGACAACAGACCATCTGCATCCTCCTCCTCGTCGTCGTCTTCGTCGTCGTCGTCTTCGTCGGCTGCTTTCCGGTCCAAGGCCGCCTTCCGCTTCCAGCCCGACCAGCTCGCCGCAGAGGGCTTCCCGCGCGCCATTGGCGACCTCGTCGACCACCTCCTCGAAAACGCAGACACCTGCCTCGACGAGTACACGGGCAAGGTGGCACCGCGCACCTCCAAGCACAGCAACATCGCCTCGTCGTCGGCAGCCGCCTCTCGCTTCACCATCGGCGCCCTGCCAAAGTCCGGGCCCCTCCCCTCCAAGATCCTAAACGCCCCCATCGTGCCGCCCCAGCGCTCCTTTTCCACCCGCCCCGACAACCGCGCCGGCGTGCCCTGGAGCCGACCGCTCAAGCTGGGCAAGCCCCACGCCCAGGTGCCCCTCGGATGGACGCCGCCCGCCGAAGACGGCGGCGAGCAGCGCGTCCGCGGCGGCATCCGCCGCGGCATGTACTGCGCCGAGGGCGACCCGCTCGACAACCCCTACCACTACGAGATCATGCGCGCCTCGCCCCCGGACTTTGTCTACCACAAGCCCGAGTCGGTCACGCCGCCGCCGCCCCTCAACCCAGACGACCCGGCCCAGTCGACGCCCGAGAGCCCCTACGTCTGGGTCGACACGGCCGACAAGCTGCAGGCGCTCCTCGACCACCTCGTCGAGGACCGCGTGCGCGAGATTGCCATCGACCTCGAGCACCACAACTACCGCACCTACCAGGGCATCGTCTGCCTGATGCAGCTCAGCACCCGCTGGGGCGACTGGATCGTCGACACCCTCTCCAACGAGATCCGCGAGCACTCCGAGACCCTCAACCGCGCCTTTGCCGACCCGCGCAAGGTCAAGGTGCTCCACGGCGCCAACCACGACGTCCTCTGGCTGCAGCGCGACCTCGGCCTCTACCTCGTCAACCTCTTTGACACCTACCACGCCACCAACATCCTCAACTTTGCCGGCCACGGCCTCGCCTACCTCATGCAGCGCTACTGCAACTTTGACGCCGACAAGCGCTACCAGCTCGCCGACTGGCGCATCCGCCCGCTGCCCCGCGAGATGCTCTACTACGCCCGCTCCGACACCCACTCGCTCCTCTACATCTACGACTCGCTGCGCGTCGAGATGCTCGAGTCGCCCCCGGGAGGCGGCGCCGGCACCAGCGGCGGGCCCGCCGCCATCCGCGAGGTGTTTGAGCTGAGCAAGGCCGTCGCCACCGCCGTCTACGCAAAGGAGGACTGGGACGAGGAGGGCGAGGGCCGCGACGGCTGGCGCGCCCTGTGGCGCAAGTGGGGCCGCGAGGCCGCCGAGGGCAGCGAGAACCGGCGCCGCCCCGAGGACATGCACAAGGAGGAGCGCCTCGTCCGCCGCCTCCACCAGTGGCGCGACCAGGTGGCCCGGGACGAGGACG